AAATGCGGGAAATGAAAGACCTCCTCAAATTCAGGAAGTTTATGAATCTATCGTATAATATAAATTATAAATATTTGGTATCTTTGATATATGAATGCCGCCAAGGGAAAACCTGTCATCGGAGTTTCAATTATATTTTGTGTACAGTTAGCCGTCTATGAAAAATCTATCATAATGATAGATTTTCATAGATGGCTAACTGTACACAAAATATAATTGAAAGTACGATGCAGGTTTTCGCTTGGCGGCACTCATATAATAGTATAAAATATAAATCACTGACCTCCAAAGAACCATCTTGTCGATAAAGTACGCACCAAAAGCTTTCGGATTTCACACTTTCAACAAAACCACTTAGATTTGGTTCATTTACCTCACCCCCGATCTCTTGTCGATTTTCATAAACATTATCGTTATCAACATCCATAGAAGTTTCTACATTTGGATTTTCTTCTATGTTGGCAGGAGTTTCGCTTACATCAGCATACAAATCGTCTAACTCATCATCTTGAAAAATTGATGTCTTTTCTGGTTGCGTTTTATCCGTTTTTTTGGCCTTGCTATCTATTGGAGATGCTAACGGCGTAACGTCCTTAACAAGAGCAAAAAGATCGGTATCATCTCGATATATATGGCACGATGCAGTAGGGATATCCTGTATAAAAGAGAAATAGCTTAAATTTGATACAAGATAATCAATAGCATACATATAACTTGATTCTTACATTAATAGACGAAGGCTGGGAATAAAAATCAATATTCTTTGACTTATCATCAGCCTTTAACAACTTAATATCACCAGTGTCAAATAATAGCAATATATATGGATCAACAATGCTAGCAAATACAATTGAGCTCGTTTCAGAATCATCTTGAGTTGGTATCATTTGCACAAGTTTTCCATCTGTATATGTATACAAAAAATAGAGATAAGAATTGCTGATTTACACTTTCATACAAGTAATATGTCGAACAAAAAATAAACCTTGATCGAGAAGCCGAAGGCCATGACCACAAATTTGTAATATACGTGACCCATTCAGCACTGATCCAACGGCCACTGTCGGACCATCCGTATAAAAATCAGAATGCTCAAGTTCCTGTAGTTCTTCACCACAGACAAGAACCTAGACGTAGCAATATATTTAAAATGATGCAGATTTACAATTTTACAAATTAATAACAAATATACCATTGTCCTATATTTTTTTGAAATGAATAGGAATTTGTGAAAAGATTCTTCTGCATCACCAGTATCGATATTCATATTTTGATATATGACATCTTTGCATGATACCGTCCACATATTTAAACAATCAGTCATTGGAAAAGAGCTTGATACTATCGGATTTATATTACGCTATAATAAACAAGTCAACTCGATTATGATTGGAATTAGAATTAATCATAGAATTAATCACTAGGATAAAAGAAAAAGCACCTTACGTGGAATATACAAAGCGAAGAAGCCGCTCCAGAACCCGAACAAGAAACCAACTCCAATTCTTTATGAACAGTATGTAAATGAGACTCTTCCTAAAAGAAATCAAACTTTAGCATTTTAAATTGTATGCGCATTAATTCTAACAAATCTTTCAACCTCAGAGAACGCTAATTCGCCATAAGCCAAATCCACTATTGGTCCAACATTAATAAGTGTGTCGCATACAGTAAAGTTGTATTCAAAGGCCGTTGGAAATTTAGTACTTATTTTGCTGCTTATGCCTCCAATATTTGTACCACTTGTATCAGTTTCATATAATTCTAACACGTGTAAAATATTAAATATTAAATAAGGTACAACATGTAGAAAATTAAAAATGTTTATTACCAGCATCAAAATCAAAGGTATTTCTCCGCGACTAATGATGAAACAAACTAATTAGAGACTAAAATCATAAATAATTCAAAGTTAATAGTTTATTGATATTACCATATTACTAAAACCATTCACAGCACCATTTGCCATATAATTGGATTTGGAAGCTTTATATTGAACTAAATGTGAATCGCCTAGTCGTGATCCTAAAAAGAAATAGCCAGGCGCTACGTGACAAGCACATGATGGTAACGTATTAGTGCCAACTTTTTCTATTGTAATCCTAGATATCGATCTTCCATCCTTTATCAATTTTACTAGGTACATGTCGCCATTACGCAAAAAAATCAAAATTTCATCTTTATCTAAGAAAACATAATGACATCCTTCTAAAGCAAGACCCAAATGCTCGAATGAACGATCAAGTGGAAAATCTGTTGTGGACATTGCATATCCGTTAACAGCAATACCAATTCCTGGAGAACTTTGATCCACATGAATTATCGCGTTCGCAGTTATAATGAGGATGCCACCAACAGGTTTTTGAATTGGAATTAATTTCACACAAGAATGTGGTAACTTATCCATTGAATATATGACTGGATATACTTTTTGTGAAATGTCTAGTGACACAACGACAAGAGAACAAGTGTCCTTATTTGTGCTCATTTTACTAAAATGTTGATATTGTGGAATTTAGTAATTTAGTAAAATTTCAGTGTCCCCATAAATACAATAGTATATCATCTTTACCCCGGCCAGGTTTGACATGATTCAAAAAGTATGGCTAAAGTTGGTTCATAATAATCATACAAGAATTTCATATCTATGACATTTTTAATTCGTGGTTGAATGGAAGGCAGTTCGACGACAAAACTTGGTAAGTAAGGCCACTTGCTACCCAAATTGAAATGTTAGAATAAGAATATTACTATTCAATTAATAAACAAAAAATACTAAATGGCATTGCACACCTTGCAACTTCCTCTTCGTCTAGATTTAAAGCTTCTTCTTGACGAAAAGGAAGAATTGCTAGCTTATCACCAAAAAAATTCAATATAGCACATCTATTTGATGGATCCACCCTTAATTCGGTTGGGCGCGTATTTGCTAGAAACTCTAACTAATGATTATAGAAAATATTACTCAATATAATGATAATGGCATATCAATAATTGATTATATATCAACTACTATTCGATGAATACCTTATATTCCTCCCTCTCGTAATAATGGATAGATACCGTGACGATGTTGTTAGTTGCTAATGAGAATTCCAAAAGCGACAACTATAATCATAAAGATTTCATATTAATATTCTAATGACTCAATATCACGCCTATTACCTAAAATCAACGAACCTTTGCATCCTTAAAGCTTAATAGCAGACTATCCATATCATTTGCACCCGAAGAAATCGTTCTCACAACTCCCATAGAGGTTATATTACCATGAAGCTTATATTGTGAGATAAGCTCAAGATGGCCAGTCATGAATGACGGATTTGTAGCCGGTTTGAGTGTTAATAGAAAAGTCTACATGAAATCATTTGAAATATTTTTTGCCACATATGAAAAGAAGAAATTGTATAAGAATACAAATATCGAAGAGAATTCAAAGGCAAAAAAAAATTAAAAAAAAAAAAATTAAAAATTAAAAATAATTTATTGATTTTGTGTTTTCTTTAACGTTACATTTATTTATTTAACTTAGCTGAAATACTCGTTACTCTCTCTAACCATATTAATTTATTGAGTCTCTAATCTCTTAAAATTCTATTTATGCATTGTAAGAAAGCCGAAAGGCCGTTTCAAACGAACTAGTTAAATCCTTTTAGAAAAAAAACTTTATAACAAAACTATGAACATAATTTGCTTTGATCTGCTTCGAAGTAGAATATCTTTAACAATTAAATTTTGACAATACGAAATTATAATTTAGATTCCTTTGTTCTCTCTAAAATACACTACTCTTGCTAACTTTATTCGGTCCAGTGCTAACTACCTTTCGCCTGGCTATCAACCAAAATAAGGAAACTAAAATAACGCGTGCTCACCTCATCCTTCTCCTTTTCTATTTCTTGACTTAAGTCATTATCCTCGTCTTCTACTGAAATCTCAATTCGTTCAACAAATTTGTAAATTTGTAATATAGATGAACGTGCAACTATTATATTAATATCTTTTGGCGATGTAAAATTGGCGCAAACAACTTCCTCAACGCTTGTTGACGGAAAAATCTCCTTATATAGAGGGTATATAGACATTCTTTTTTCTTTTCCTTGTTATGCTATGCGTTAACGCGAATACCTAATTCACACATACCAGTACCCTAGCGAAAAAAGAGCGCCGCTCACGTGAAATTATACTTGGACATATCATTATGATGATCCTTAATTTGCGACCAATCAGCATTAGTTACGATAATTTATTTCTATGGTGCTCCCAAGAGCATTGGTAAACATTGATTTTATTGGTTAAAAAAAATGATCGACATTTATATGGATCAACTGTAATTTTACAATACATTATCTAAGTAAATCTATTCGTTACAAGAAAAAAAATTTTTTATCAGTAAGAAAACTAAAAAATATTGATACGTATATACAATTTGCGCGTTACTTCGTCGTTTTATGAAATGTCATCCAGTCGGATCCAATGGATAAGGATTCTAAATGAGAAGGTAAAAAGTCGTTAGGTTTTAAGTATTTATAGCGTGAGAATAGAAGTTTAACGAACTTCCGCCAATACTAATACATAACTTCGTTGGCTTAATATATAGTGTTTAAACTTAAGTCAGACAAAGAGACAACCGAAAGTCAGTAATTGCATAGTATAAGTATTTACTTTTTAAGTTGGTAATTTATTTTGTTTAGATTTATTACCAAGTACTAACATGATTCATTTCATTTAAAAAGGCCATATGCACTTTTTGAATTCTACCTAATTCTATTTCTTCTGTAGTCGAATGATCCTGATCCTCCTCTTGAGCTTCCTCGCCATTATTCATATCTTCTTTTTCTTCAGTAGTTAAGACATTTGGTTCTTTTTCTAGTCTATTTACTAAAGATTTTACATTGTTATATATTCCGTGCTTGTAATATTCTTCACAATGATGACAACTAAATTTCATTTTTTGATAGCATTGGAAATGGTACCCATGCCCGCAAATAAGTATTTCACCATTTCTAAGATTTTGATGCAATAATCACAAACATCTGACCGGGGAGGTATACTAGTACTATATGCTGTTGAAAGGCATTTTGCATCAACAGTCTCTTCTAAGGTAATTAACCTATATAGATTCTTTTTATGCTTATTCGTTCCACATAGTTTACTTTTTCCACGATTTTTAAAGAGTTTGCGAAAGTGTTCTAATAAGAATAAAGCCGTTTTTTCTGTAAGAAAATCTAACTCACGTGGCTTATACGGGTAATGTTTTGTTTTTTCAAATGTGTCTTTAAGTTTACAATGGGCTTGCACATCTAATAATATTATTGATTATTTTATTAGTTTATCAAAAAAAAAAAATTTTATACTTACCAATTATATAAGCTTGTTTAATTATATTACTAACACTACTAGTTGCAAAGGTATGTGATCGTATCTTACTATGCATGTTTTTGACATAGTAATCATTAAAATTTACTAAAAATAATTTTATCACCTCAGCAAAAGGATGGTTAGTATCTTGCCAGTAAAAGATATCAGACAAGAATACTAAGGGCACTTTATTATAATTGCGTCGATTCTATCTAAGAGCAAATGTCCAGAACTGAAAGACAGTTTCCACGTATTCGTCAAATGAACCGGACCGGAAAAAGATAGCATAAATATCTAGAGCTGTTGGAATTACGTTATCTAGCAAATCAATAATCATACAATATTTGATATCTTTACAGCAACCGAATTTTACAGTAATTAAGTTTCAGATTTTACACCATTCATTATAAGTGAGGTCAAGAAGTAAATTAATTCTCCACGGCTTTGGTTTTTTAGCAAGCTTTTTTTTTTACCAAATACGAAGTGAAACATCTTTTCAAAAAAGGATAATAAGTTATTAACACTTGCTCTTTACTATTTAGGGAGATATGAAGAGGCCCAATAATTGGGATTAAAGAATTAATCTCAGGCGGTATATGATATTGTGAATTCGTTTTATGCAAATTTGTTATTGCTTTGCGAATAAACAACTGTCCAGGCCAATC